GGGGGCCGCGGAGCCGCCGCTGTCGTCGCCGCGTGTTGCTGTTCTCCAGCTCTGCTGCGTTTAGACCGTCTGCTTCTTTCGCTGTGCATCGTCCTTTTGATTAATGGTTTAGCTAGACATGTAGCGTCGCCTTTCTTTGACTGACTGTCCGAATGTGATATATTGTACATTTTAAAGTATTTACCCTATTTATATACCATATGTTACTGTTAAATAAACATAAGTTCCATTACCCGTTGGGGAGTGTTATTCGTCCCTGCTCACGAAGGGGGCAGAGCCGCCCTAACCTGCCTCCTGCCCTGGAGCGTCCGGGGCAAAATTACTTTCCTTTGTCCGCTGGCGGGTTGGGGGGATGCTGGAAACTGGGTTTTTTTTTTTTTTTTTCCCCCCCGAACCATTTTTGTTCCAATTAATCAAGCTCCATTAATTGCAGTTTAAATGGAGATCTGGTATTGTATCTCTTAAGCCAGAGTGCAAATATTGCCATTGTTGCATTGGCAGGGGAGAAAGCCTGACAAGCTTTGCTGGATCACTGCACTCACTGTATAACAAGATATGGGCTGCCAGGAAAGAACAAATGTATAGAAAATAAACAATAGAACATTAAAATATTTTTATCTGTCCTTTTTAAAATGCATTAAGATTAAAAGAAAATCTTTCATCCCAGGAGCAGTAAATCACCAAAAGAGAAGTGTTACTGCTGTACAGACTACAAATTTTTAGCAATAACAGTAAGCTTGTTTATGCGATTGAGTAATCTGAATGGACAAACACTTATAATTACTTCACAATGCAGAATTCAGCTACTAGTAGCATGAACAATACCTTTCTTGAAGACTGATACAAATCTAGTTTCCACAAGCTAAGCCTCTTTTTGCACTTAGAAGTTCTGCCCAGGTGGACTTAGGCTGTAGATACCCTCTGGGATTTCTGGATACCTAGTGGTTCTGACAAGTTGGTTACCTCTGCTCTCAATGTTGCATTTTCAGAAATCCTGAACGTAAGCCTAGCGTTGGCAGTAGCTATAACAATCACATATGTGCTATGCTGTGTGTATACGTGTGTAGGAGGGCTGAAACTCCTGGAGGCACAGACTTACTGTGTCTGCTCCATCAATTCACTCTGGTGCACGTGGGGTAAATCTGTGCTTCCAGGAAATGTCAGAGCTACTGGGTGTTCACTTAGCAGTTGTTACACAACCTGGAGGTGTTGGTTTTAATCCATGCAGTGCAGGACGGCATTC